TGTTTTTGTCCAGTCGAATAGATTAAGCCAGTTGGACAATTTGAACTATTGGAACCAATTCAGCTTCATTATGCAGTTGAAAACGTGTAGCTAGTTTGACCATTTGAGCTACCTCAAGCAGTTAAGTATTGTGCAACTTGTGCAGTTCTACAGCAACGAAGTCAGTGTAGGAACACTCATTGTCTTCGGCACCACCAACCATTACATCCAAACGTATCCTCATCTCTCTACCAAACATGAGCTCGAAAGGGTTGTGCCCCGTGGAGGAATGAACACTACTACAATAGGCCATCATGCAGAGATCAAGGTGCTCATCCCATGTAGCTGCATTATCTTCAAGTCTAGCTTTTAACATGCTCCTTAAGGTTTTGTGCAGATTTTCTACTTGGCCGTTGCCCTCAGGGTAACACGCGCTAGTGCGCGTTTTGTTAACACTCAGCAGCTGGCACATTTCCAAGAATATTTTAGACTCGAAATTACGGCCGTTATCGCTATGAATGCTGTCTTCACACCAAATCTACCGATCCAGTTCCTTACAAGCACCTTTCCACAGGTTGTGGCACGCTGGTTGGACACTGCATACACCTTAGCCCATTTAGTAAAACTGCACTGAACTGAGAGAATGCTGTTTTGGGTCTGTCCTCTTCTTTTACTTGCATCTACCAATACCCAGACGCCAAATCCAGATAGGAGAACCATTGGCCACCACCCAGCGCTTCCAAGACATCCTCGGTATTGCATCTTTCTATGTACACCAATTCAGTTTGCAGTAATCAATGCACATACGGTAACTTCCGTCATGTCTCCTTACAACCGGACTGCTCCAGGAGCTCTGTGACTCTTAAACTCTACCATTCCCTAGCGGCTCGTCCAGCTGTTGATCTGTGATCTCCCTCTGGTGCGGTGGTATGCGACGAGTGATATGCTTAATGGGAGCATGCTCACCACTGTTAATTTCATGTTCCATATTATCTGATTAACCTAAATCACAATTGTTAATTGCAAATATGCCCTCAAATTCGCCTATCGGTAGGGAAAATTGCCTTTTCTCCTCCTCCGAAAGCCCATCTGAACTTGACTAAATAACTTTTGCCCTTCTCTCTTCAGTGCTTGTCATCACAAATATTTCTGTCCATAACTGAGCAGCAACAGGGAGATCTGATCGTGACGTGAAAATTCGGTCGGAGAGGTTAACCACTCCAAAACCAAACTCCCCTGCCTTTAGCACTACTACGGAACAAGCCAGACCTATCTCACAAGTCCCCTCTACCTCTCTTAATCCCTTACAGGATTTAAGGGGTTCAAGAATTCTCTTTGTAACCAACAAACTTATCACTTGTTCAATCCCCGGTTCTGGCTCCAAAATCTGCATATATATTTCAATTACTAACCCTAACCCTAACCCTAACCCTAATTACATTCCCGGAAGTGTTCACCTGCCCACAATCTACCCTAAGCAACATAAATTTTTTTCCTAGCAAGATTAAGGGTTTTCCTTCTAACTATAGAATGTTTGGTTCTCATCCAACGTTCTGTGTAAGTTTTAGAAGATATGGTTAAAAGTCTTTTAAGTTATAGTCCTTCAAAGTTTGAAAGGAGGGCAGGTCAACAAGATCGGGAGAATCTATGAAGAAAGCGTTATTTTGTCACCAAATTTTGCCTGCAAACGTTTTAAACAAGATAAACAATCACCACAGATACCCTTTGGCTAACCCTGGCCAATTAAAAATCTCCAAACTTTGCTCGGAAAAAAATGGCGGCCAGGTATACGCTCTACACATCACCTTGTAAGACTGGTCGAAGAAATTTGGACTATAAGGTAAGGTGATTATCCATGAAAATTACATCTCTCTGTAAATGCGAGGGTTAGAGTTGAAATTTACACAGGAAGTAACTATGTAAATTTTGTGTTATCACCGTAAGTTTCATGTTATTTCCACGCGGGAAACTCTTTTTAGAGTTGCTTTTGTAAGGAGGACACTGTTCCAAATATTGTGGGGGCAAAGCTATTCCACATTTTCTGCTTAAGCAGTCGTTTTCTGCAAACATTCTTTAAAAGTTTTTACATTATTAGAAAGCTCTTTGCATGGGCTTTACATTGGCATTTCTTTAACTCCTAACCCTTGCATTGTTTTGAAGAAATTCTCTGATAAAGAAAGTGAATGGGGGCAAGAGCGCACTTTTTAGGTTGCCATGTAAAAAAATCATATAAAATCGATATTTTAATATAACATCATCATATCCTGATACAATAAAGACAAATAGTAGGAGCAGCTTTTCAGAGGTTTTTGAGTTCTTTAATGGAACAGTCACAGAGATATAGAGGTCTAAGTCATGCACAAGTTCAAAGTGCCAGTTTTGTCATTTTAAGGACATGGTTGACTTAATGAGACCACAACTACCCTTTAACCTTAGTGAAATACAATGAAACTCTATTGAAGTATTATCATATAATGGGACTTTAACTTACTTATAATTCGTGATATTCCATCAAGCGTAAAGAAAGATATAGAGACTTCAAGCTCCTTTAATGGAACTCAAATACATTTGCAAATTATGGTCAGCTTTAAGAGGCCAAAACTACTCTTCTGCTTTATCAATTTCAACGAAACTTTGACATAAGATGGTACATAAATAGAAATTAAATATACTTGAAATTTATGTAACTCCAATAAATCTACAAGAAAATATTTAAATTTGAAGATACCGTCATGATTTGCATAACATAGTCACTTTTCGTGCATCTGACACGAGGTCACCATTTCCACAAGCCTTCGACTGGTAAGTCATGCTTTTTGATGCTCCGTTATTCTTCTTGTTTAGCACCCCTAGAACACTAGGCAGAAGCAATCAAACTATTGAAAGAGATGTCTAAGGTGGTCGGGGCAGCTTTCTTGAACATTTTCTTTGCAATGGAAAACAGTTGCTTCTTCGTAGGCTTTGGTCAAAGTTTAAGGGTGCACTCTTGACCATGATGTTGTTGAAGGACCTCGTCACTAGGGCTTGAGGACCTCTTTTTTTATATTTTGATGTGATATTATGCTTGTTTATGATGTAAGGAACCGTTTGGTGTTACTTGTTTTGAAATCAGTCCCTTTGTTCATTAACTATGACGTCATTTGGTCGGAAACTTTACAACTTAATAACTTTGCAAAGTCTCAGGCACTTGGCCACTTTAGTATTGATATTTGTTGGCTGGAGGAAGGCCTACATGCATGCCACAATTTGTCGTAAACGATAAAATCCTTGCGAAGTTATTAACGTTTAAACTTTCTTACAAAATGGCGGACGCAGTTTTTTGGTACCAAGTCCCCTCGGCGCGCGCGCGAAAGTGAGGGTAGACTTTAACTGCCTATATCTTCTAGATATTAAATTTGAATGTGAAGTTTACAGGGGTTGTACTATGGCCCACGAGCTACTCTCTCATGTAATAATATTTCATTTTTAACTGGATAGTGGATTCTTGAACTTGCATCTGTGGAGGATATCATTCAAGCTAGTTTGTATTTATGAAAAATGTCTGCAAAAGGCATTGAAGAAGTTAAGCGTTTGGCCACGAAAGGACTATCGGGGGATGAAGAGGCCATTAAAGAGCTGGGCCTAGAAAAGTTCCAGAAGTTACAATCCCAGATTTCAAGGAGATTGACCGTTTCACGGTTGACAAAATTAAGAATGTGGCAGCCATCTCATTTGTAGTTGGGAAGAAAATGGGCCTTCCCTTACTAGAGGCATCGGCCAAAACCTGTATGAATTAGTCAAATTTGTCGAGAAAGACAAACTAAAGACAAATACGAAGCCAGAAATGGATCGCAGTGATGTAGTTAGAAGAATGAGCTACTGCTGCAAAAGACATCGCAGCATGGTCGAGGAAAATTGGGGAGGTGGAGGGCGGAAGAGTGCTCCACAAACTTGAATGGTTTTCACAGAGTCTAGCTCATTTAGAGATAGGAAACAAGGAGTCACTTCGGCTTATTGGTCTTAAGAGAATGCCAGCGGTAACAATTGCGCCGATAAAGAAAGTTCCTAACTCAATGACACTCCAATGCTATTATAAGAGGGCCCATTTGATTGCCTCAACGGCAGAGTATATGGGAAATACCACTCTTCGAATTGTATCACAATTCATGATGGCCATGTGTGATGTGATTGCAAGATAGCATCACCAAGAAGAACCAGAGCTCTCGGCAGACACCGACGGCCAAGACGTTTGCGAGACACTAAACGCTGAGATAGAAGACATCATGAGATGGGTAGAGCACTTAGCGGAACTAAGAAAGAAGGAAAGGGCTGATGAGGAAGAGGAAGATGACAGTGACCCAGCGTATAGTCCAGAATCTTCAGGGGGAGAGAGCGAGGAAGAAAGTGAAACCAAGGGAGAAAGTGAAAGTGAAAGTGACAGTAAGCAAAGAAGGAAAAAGATGCAGAGGAGAGAAGCAATGGAGATAGACAGCCCAAAACCATCATCAGCGGCTTCAAAGGAAAAACCAATGTATCTAGCATATAGAGGACCCTTAGACCTAACCAAGGATAACTTGTTTGCAGATTATCGGGAGGCTGCAAACTGCTATCTCTCTGCTGCTGAACTAGGTCTAGACTCAGTTGTGAGCAGCGGCACGTTGGCATTAAAATACATCTCTTATGTGGCCAAGACGCAGTTTGATATCGACCTTTCCAAAAAGCATGACATAAATGCCATAAAACGCACAGAAGTAGAAGACATGATGAATAACATGAGAGATGAATGTACTAAAGAAGGCGCCAAAACCAACAAATGTAACGAAACCACCTCTGCCGCTGATGGCGCAAAAAGCTCCAAGGCTAGCCAAAAAGCCTCTAAAGAAGTCACTCCCCGAAAATTCAGTCTTGCAATTAAACCCCCTACCAAGGATGAAGATGAGGAATCGATATCATCGAGAGATGACGTGGAAGGAGAAGTTCGAGAGGAAGATGAGAAAAGAAGTCACCACTCCAAGGTGAGATGCAGAATCCCTGGATGTGGAATGATGGCAGGCGACATCAAGCGTCATCTTAAAGTGCATGTTGGTAAACAGATCGAGGAGGAAGATGTGCCGAGGGCTGCAGCGATTATGAAGGCAGGGAAGGCTACAAGGGGGCCAAGACAGGTGAGGGGGAAGAAGGAAGTGGAAACTCCGGGGAGATTACGAACATGGTGCCCGGTAGACGGCTGCAACACAATCACCAGCTATCTTAATCAGCATCTGGTAAAGGCACACAGGTTAAAGAGCTCCCATACCCAGTATAGGGTCCATCTCAAGGAGGCTGAAAGGTATACTGGTATCCAAGAGTTAGACTGCCTGCTCACTCTACCATCCAAGGCACCGTCATCCAAGCTGACATCTCCGTCATTCTTAACTGCTCAACCTAATCCACGTGAACACAAAACCAACGAAGATGAAGAAATAGAAGAGACCCAAGGAATAGAAGAGACCCAAGAACAAGAAGAAGAAGAAGAAGAAGAATGGCATCCAGAGGGAGAGGTGGAGGAGAGTGACGAAGATTCTGAAGATGCTCCAACCATAAAGATCAGGAAGGAGGAGTATTACTCAGCGACAAAATTTACGAGTTACCGCCACCAATGGCTCTCTGGTTTCTTTAAGTACCTGAAGAGCCCATCAGCGGGCTACAAAAGCTTGAGAATAGACTCCAGCACGTGGGCCAGGTGGAGAAGCTCTTGGAAACGCTGGACCCCAACGGTAAGGACATCACCATCCTAGGGGAGGAATTTGGAGATATCGTATGGAACAAATGGGTCAGCCCACACCTTTCTGAGGGAACGAAGGCACCAGGTACGTTGGCCTCCTATTTGACCAGTCTGGAAAAGTTTTTCGTTTTCGTCACGTCCGACAAGTACAAAAGAAAGGAAATGCCGCCGCTGCATGGCAACGATTTGGACTTGTTTAAGGGGGCCATCAACGCCCTGAAAGGCTGGCGTGTAACTATCGATAACGAAACCCAGGATGTTCAGCACCGGACCCATCTCAGAGAGTGCGATACTCTCTTGACGGGAACAGACATCAACCTTCTCTCTCAATCAAAACCCTACATAGATGATATGAAGGCCATAACTCAGGCCAAGGCAGGAAAAAGGCTCTCCATACAACAATTTACAAATGCTCGCGATCTTCTTCTGGTAAAACTCGCGCTACTTGTGGCATCTCGACCTGCCCCATAGAGAATGCTCTTCTTGAAGACTACCAAAAAGCGCAGGAGAAGGACGGAAACAGGGTCATGTTAATCCCGAAGCATAAACGATCTAGAGAGGGACCAGTACCACTTGGCATGGATAAAGAGGTGCAAGATCTCATGGAGGTCTATGTCAATAAGATCAGACCACACTTTGTTGCAAAAGATGTCAAACACCTCTTCGTTAAGAGTGACGGCCAATCATTCAACAGAAATACCATTGGAAAAAGATTCTCTGCTTTCTTCGAGAAAAGTGGCGTGAGGACCGACAGACGCGTAAGCCAGACTGCTGTAAGAAAGTTTGTAACAACGGCAGCGAGAAGGCATGCCCCAGAGGAGATGTCGAATATCCAGAGGGTCTTGTGCCATAGCGAAAGGTCATCTCGCAACAGTTATCTTAGGTTGGACTTGACAGAGACGGCCTCACACGCCATGAATATCATAAAGAAAGTCACCTCCAGTGAAACAGAAACTAAAACAAAGAAAGAAACTCTTGCTGAAGAACTTCCCGAGAAACAAATAAAGAAAGGTGGTGAGGAGAGTGACCAAAGTGCAGACGTTGATCTTCCTGGGCCAAGCCAACTAGCGTCTGAAGATGACGAAACCTCCACAAATGTTATCCCACCAACAGTCTCCCCTGGCAAGGTTTCAAGTCTGACAGAAAAACAGAAAAAGAAGCCATTAGGGAAATCTTTTCATCTGCCATTGAGAGAGGGGAGAAACAACAAATGATGGCTGTGCGAAATAAAATGTCGACCACACTAATCTTAAGGAAAATGACTACTTCTATCTCAAAGGTAAAACAGGTAACCAACTTCGTCAACTACCTAGTGAGCAAACGACCCTTTGAGGTGGAAGGTTTGCCAACCCAAGCAATTGAAGTTGAAGAATGGCTTGATGACCAATCATCATCACTAAAATCTGATCAACGGATGCACTGGGATCAACGAGATACACAAGCGATGGAAAGAGAGTTCCGTAGGTTTCGAAAATGTCCACCTAAACAACAACTAAGGCAGATGTTCACGGTGAATGCACGCCTAGCTGCAATCTGTAAAAAGGAGGGTTTCAGTCGGTGCTACGAGAAGGTAAAGAGCATTATGCGGAAGAAAAACAAGTAGTGACTCCAGCTACACGTCATAGTGAAAAATCACTGCTTCTCTGTAAATAACTTTGTTCGTGTTGCTTCCGTTCTTTTTACTAAGTTAGTTCAAGCCGTTGCGTGTCTTTGTTCATGTTGCTTCCGTTCCTGTTACTAAGTTGATTCAAGCCATTGCATGTCTGTAAATAAGTCTGTTCATATTGATTCCGTTCCTATTACTAAGTAAGCTCAAGACGTTGCGTTCCTGTAAATAAGTTCGTTCATGTTTCTTTGTCAGACGTTCTCCTGGCAACAATGAGTTGGGCTGGTTACCCGATGATACCCTCTGGTATTGTGAGAGTTTGTCAGGGATCAAACACAAGCTGGGGTAGCCAATCCCTGGAGAGTGCCCCAAAAACTTTCACAGTCCCAGGTAATACTCTTGTCGTTTGAAACGGCAAGAGGGGGACCAGGAAACCACTTATCACAACAGTACAACCCAGTCGTCGTGTTATGACTATGACCAAACTTATAAGCAAGCTTAGTATGTTAAACTTCATACAAATAAACTGAAATTTACCGCTCCAGCAGATCGATCCATTGTTAAACAGTGTGCTAGATTTCAAAGATACACCATGAAGGGTTCCAAAGTTACAGTGGTCCTTATGACTGGACCTCCCATTACTTGATCATGTTGCCAGTCAATCTGAAACAAAAAGATTAAAGCTGTCCAATCCAATTAATAAATTCTCCCTCTAAAAGTAAAGGTCAAACACAATAACTCCTGCAACTTTCAGCAAATTCGCCCATAATAAAAAAACCTAAGACAAAAAATCCCTCGATCTAAAGTGGGCAAGACAACACAGAGGGCCAGACAACAACATGTGAGGGCAGGACAACACCCTATGTGGGCAAGACAACAACGTGAGAGGGCAAGACAAAATTCGGACAACACAGAAATGGGGGCAAGACAACCAAAGAGGGCAAGACAACATTTTTGTGGGGGGAAGACAACACACAATGGGGGCAGAACAACACAGGAAAATAGCCCTCACCCTAACCCTAACCCTAACCCTAACCCTAACCCTAACCCTAACCCTAAACCTAACCCTAGCCCTAGCCCTAGCCCTAGCCCTAACCCTAACCCTAACCCTAAACCTAACCCTAGCCCTAGCCCTAGCCCTAGCCCTAGCCCTAGCCCTAGCCCTAAGCAATTACTGGTGTACCCTTACAGCATCTGACTGGAATTTCTGACTTACGCTGTTTTTAACATTATCGAATAGAAAACATATTTTTATTTGTTCGCAATTAAACCGGGCTATTGTGAGTTAAAGCTCACAAAAAGCGTTTTCGCCTTTTGCTCTCTAAAATACGCTGCTTTCAGCTTTATCGCATCAAAAAAACATGTTTTCAGCCTAACTGCATCGAAAAAAGGTTTCTGCCTGTCTGCAGCTAGTCACCCTAACTAGAGCTTGATTTCACTGAACCAACGTTTTCGTTTGTTTTCGGCTAAGTTACCCCTGTCTTCATCATTATCTTTCTGCGAACAATGCTTTGGACTCTTTTGTTACTAGACTACGGTTTTACACGGTTTATCGCACCGAAAACATGTTTTGGTCTGTTGGCAGCTAAAATTGGATTGCTTTAAGCTTTATCTCTCGGCAAAGTAGCGTTTTCCCTTTTTAACTGCTAAAATACGCTGCTTTTAGCTTAATTGCACAAAAAACGTGTTCGCTTTTTTTATGTAAAATTGCGCTGTTTCCAGCGTAATTGCAACGGGAAAAGATGGTTTGCAAGGCTGCAGCGAGTCTCTGATTTTTACTTGATTTTACTTAAAACAACGTTTTTGCTTGTTTTTGGCTAGCTTCTGCTGTTTTCAGCATCATCTTTCTGAGCACAAGCTTTTCCTCTTTGTTCGTTACCAAACTGCACTTTTGACGCTCTATATTACCGAAAGAATGTTTTGGTTTGTTGGCAACTAAATTAAGTTGCTTTGAGCCTTATGTCACAAAAAAAGCGTTTTCCCTTTCTGTGTTTAAAATATGTTGCGTGTAGCTTTATTGCAGGGAAAATATGTTTTGGTTTGTTTCCGGTAAAATTGGGCTGTTTCCAGTGTTATTGCACCGGAAAAAGGTTGTCTTCCAGTTTGCAGTGAGTTACTTTGATTTTTACTTGATTTTACTCAAAACAACGTTTTTGTTTGTTTTCGGCTAAGGTACGCTGTTTTCCCTTTTTAATTGGTAAAATACTCTACTTTCAGCTTTTATTGCACCAAAAACATGTTTTTGCTTTGTTTACCGTCAAATTGGGCTTTATCCAGCGTTATTGCACCGGTAAATGGATTTCTTTTCCAGTTTTTTGCGAATGACGCTGACTTTTACTTGAGAGCGCTCAAAACAACGTTTTAGCCTGTTTTACCTAAGTTACCCTGTTTTCAGTATTATCCTTCTGAGAGCAACCATTTTCTCCGTTTTGTAACTAAACTACACTTTTGACGCTCTATCTTACCGAAAACATGTTTTGGTTTGTTGGCAACGAAATTGGGCTGCTTTGAAATTTAGATCACAAAAAAGAGCGTTTTTCGTGTCTAAAACACGTTGCACTCAGCTTTATAGCACGAAAAACATGTTTTGGTCCGTTTGCCGTAAAATTTTGTTGTTTCCAGCGTTATTACACCGGAAAAAGGTTTTCTTCCAGTTTGCAGCGAGTCACCCTGCGTTTCACTTGATTTTACTCAAAACAACGTTTTTTACTTGATTTTGGCTAAGTTACGCTGTCTCAGACACATGTTTTGGTTTGTTTGCCGTCAAATTGGGTTGTTACCAGCGTTATTGCACCAAAGAAGAATTTCTGTCAGTTTTCAGAGGCTTATGGTAATTTTTACTTGATTTTACTGAAAAAACGTTTTCGTCTGTTTTCGGCTAAGTTACGCCGTTTTCAGCATTATGTTTCTGAGAACAAGCTTTTCCTTTTTTTTCGTACGTAGACTGCAGTAATGACACTTTATCTTGCCGAAAACATGTTTTGGTTTAGTTGCAGCTAAATTGGAAGCTTCGAGCTTTTATGTCACAAAAAGCAGCTATTTAGTTTTTCGTTGGAAAACACGCTGCTCTGAGCTTCATAGCACCGAAAATATCTTTTGGTTAGTTGGCAACAAAATTGAGCTTCTTTGAGCTTTCTATCGCAAAAAACAGCGTTTTTGCTTTTTCTTGGCTAAAACACGTTGCACTCAGCTTTATAGCACAAAAAAATTTTTTGGTCTCTTTCCCGTAAAGTTGTCTGGTTTCCAGCGTTATTGCACTGGGAAAAGGTTTTCTCTCAGTTTGCAGCGAATCACCCTGACTTTCCCTTGATTTTACTCAAAACAACGTTTTTGCTTGTGTTTGGCTAAGTTACGCTGTTCCAGAATCCTACTTCTGACAACAACCTTTTCCTCCTCTTTCGTGAGCA